ACCCAAGGGAAAATGCATTTAGCGCGTGTGGGCAAAAAATCCCCCCCCCCCGATCCACACGGGCACCGTATAGCAGGGAGTGCATAGCGCCGGAGGCAATTGGGCGCATTTATAACGCTTTTCAATGAGAGCATTTTGGACCTTAACCCCCACTTCCTGGTTTGCCTATTTATAGGGGGGTAGGTCTCTCCAGGATGCTCGACCCAAGGGAAAATGTATTTAGCGTGTGAACCTAGGCTGGGAGCTAGTGGTCTTTGCTGTTGGATTGCTTGTCGTCTGTAAGCACTGATAGTGGGGTGACGACTTCAGGTTTACTTGATGTACTCATATCGCTGTGAGGGTAATTTCCCTTTCGTTAGATCGACCCTGTTTTGCATGACACTCTGTGTTATTTGTGTGAGGGCCATCACTATTTAGTGAGGTAACCCTTGGATTGTAGGCTAGCTGTGTTTAAGTTAGTCGGGTGGTTAGTTAACCACGTGAGGCATATTGCATTGCCTTGTGAGGTATATTGTGTACATAAACCTTGTGTGATTTATATACCTTATTGATTTTTATTGCAATAAATCAAATACTTGATTATTGTCCTTGGAAATCCTGTGTCACTGTGAGGTTTATTTAGGTTTCCCTGTGTTTCATTAGTGTATTGCCAGATAAATCCAGTCTTTCCTAATTGGTGGTAAAATTCCACCGAACGATCTGCCCATAGGCTTAGTCCGCCGTTCGTTAACTGATATCCCCCCCTTGTGTCAGGGTAGCCGCTCATCCTTGCTCAAGGTTAATAAATATATTTGTGGGGTTGGGCCAGGTCAATTCCATCCCTGATCCAGCCGGTTACTGGGTCCACCACAAGAGGTGTCAGTTGCATTCGCCACAATAGGCAAACCAGGGTGTGGGGGTTAAGGTCCAAAATGCTCTCATTGAAAAGCGTTATAAATGGGCCCAATTGCCTCCAGCGCTCTGCACTCCTGATGAGGCACTGGGTAGGTCGCCCAAGCGATCTACGGTATGGAATATCGCCCTCGCACGGCGGAGCTGAGCATTGGCTGGACTTCCACCCCGTCTCCGTGCACTTACCTGTTGTTTGAAAATTCCCCTGCTATCAAGAAAATATGAAGTGGCTTTGAATACAATTTAAAGTCATTGTTCATACCAAATAACCTTGAGGTTATCACAACAAAGAGTTAATTAGAAACACTGCTGTGTCTTTCTATGAATTCCTTCTCATGGGGGGATTTAAATGGTTAATTTACTCCCCGAAACAAAATCACCCCGCCGAAATTCGAATGTTCCGAACTCGTATTTTTCAAGTGGGAAACGTTGAGGTTTTTGGCACTTAGGAACATTTTTCAAGTTTAATTATTTTCCTCTGAGATGGAAGCCAAAAGATCCACAGAGTTGTTCCTGCCAACGATGTACACAACCTCACCTTCGGGGGGGCCAAACAATGTTCTATTTTATAAGAAACTGAAGGGGCACCTTTAATGCTAATGAGACTGCCGGAAATTCCTACTTGAATTAGTGCCCTGCACCTCTTTGAACCCCAAGTTGCTTCACCATTTTCTAAACTATGGATTGACTTCAAAGCCATACGGCCCCCGATCAAAATATATACCTTTCAATTGTAAAATAATGTCAAAATTAAAAAGATATTTAAATTATATGAAGACTTTTGTTTGAATTTGCCGCTTTTAAAACACATCTACATGGGTCAGGATCTTAGAACAGTACAAGTTCCATCTTTATTCGAATTCCACCGGTGCACCCTGCGCTCCTGGCGCTCGCTCGAGCTTGCAACTCCACAGCTCCGGGCGCACGCTTTCAGTTGAAAGCCTTAATCTCAGCAGAAAGTTGTCAATCTGGAGGTCCATGCTGTCAAAGAGGTTTGCGATCCCAACACGCCAGTTTATTGTCGGGTAAGCATACTTTCGCCTCGTAGTTTTATTTCAAATGAACATTTAGCTTTTGAGGCTGAGACGTTTACAGTCTAGGTCTGTACTGTAGTCTAGTTGAAGGGGGGAACATTGCATTTGGTCTCGACAAGGATGTTGTAGTAGTCAACCAGAAACTTGTGGTTAACTCAAGGAAATACTGTACCGTACATTCATGTGGCAAGCTGTACAAAAATACTGACGTAAACATGACCGACTAGCCATCAAGTCTGGCATGTTTTTCTTCTGTATGGTAAGAATGTTCAGCATGATTAAACTTTTTTAGTTTTTATTCAAAGTCAATTTAAATTAAATGTATATGATGACTCCTGGGAGATTAACCAGCAGATCGCTCATGATCCTCTGGTACAGTTCCGGTGCTGACGTTATGCCAAATGGCAAGTGAAGCAGAACCTGCCAAATGGCGTGATGAAGGTGGTTAGTTTCTGGCTGTCAGGATGGAGTGGGATTTGCCAAAACCCATGCTTGGCATCGAGTATGGAGAACACCTTGGCACCAGCAATTTTACCAAGTACTTCCTCCAGGGTAGGTATGGTGGACTGCTCTCTGGCCACGGCTTTATTCAGCATTCGCAGGTCCACGCAAACCCTGATATTCCCATTTTTCTTGCGAGCAATCACAATTGGGGCGCACCAGTCAGTAGGCTCTGTGATGCGCGAGATGATGCCATGTTTCTCCATTTTGTCCAGTTCTGTCTTCAGCTTTGGATGCAAGGGCAGCGGGATGCGGCGACAGGCATGGACACAGTGTGGTGTGGCATTGTCGGTCAGCTTTATCTGGACTGGGGGTCGTTGAAGGCAGCCAGTTCCTTCAAACACACTATTGTTATTTATCAAGGTGTACACACGTTGCACCAGGTTAAGGGACACACAGGCATGTTTTCCCCAAACTGGCTCACCACCATCAATAACAAGGAAAGTCAGTACATGGTACTTGCCCTTCGATTCACAGGACAGACACTTCTGCCCCCCCGGTTTGACTTTCCCGTCGAAGAAACCACACAGACGGGTTGTGGGTGTGAACTGCAAGGTCGGGTTGCGGAGCTTCAAAGTGCAGTAAACATTGAATGGTAGTATGTTTACCTCGGATCCGGTGTCAAGCAGGAAGTTGACAGGTTTATCCTCAACTGCGATGGTCTGGCGCCATGAAGTTGGTGATTGGCCGTTGTTGCCGACAAAAACTCAGTGTCATCTTCGGTGTCACTGGGTGCACAGCTCACATGTGTTTGCGCTTGGAACGGCAAACTTTACTGAAATGTCCGGTTTTGTGACAGGACTTGCATTGCTGGCCTCTAGCTGGGCATGACGCATGACTTGGGTCATATCCGCAATTGGGATACCTGACCTGTCCGGTGCGGGGCTTGGGTTTTGGTGTGTGAGTGCTAGACGTTTTCTGTCATGGTCAATGTTGTACTGCCTACTTCCAATATTTTATTGGTTACTGCCTACTGATTACAGGCACCTTGGGTAATGACAATACAGTTCTGCCTCTGGCCGAAGTTAACTTGGTGAGATATCCAAATTCAAATTGTATTGTTTTGAATGTGCTGCAGCATGCAGTGCATCTCATGTGTGTCATTCCATGCAATAAGAATATACATGTACCATCAAATGAATAACAGGTGATCATGAAAATGAAAATGAAATTCTTTGACAAAATCTTTTGAAATTCATCATAGCATCACAGCTTTCACAGAGGCAAATTGGTAAAAAATCACGACTTTTAAAAATTATTTTTGAGGGCAAAATCAATTAGGCTAATGGATGACTACAGATTGGTGTTATTTGTCACTGAAATCAGCGAAATCACAATAATCACCGTTGGGCAAAATTTGAATAAACCGTACTTCCAGCTTTCAGGAACAGGTGAAACTGTCTTCCACAGAGAAAATGTTTGCAATAAAAGGCAAAATCATGGGGCAAAACCCTTTGATGGTTTTCACAAAGAGACAAAATGACTCTGGAAATGTACACATTTGTAATAATTTGCACCTGGCATGCACAAAGGGAAAAACACATGCCCCCTCCTTACACAGCTTGAAGAGACAAAAGCACACAAATTATCACAGACAGACAAATCTATTTGTTTACTAAACAAACAACATTGATTCCTATGAAAAACTGTTTGGCAATTTGTGTAATCCAGGATCCCGTTTTTCACATAGTAGCATTGTTTTAGTTGAAGGAATGCTAAGTACTACAGAAATAAGCGTTGAAAAGGAAACCAACTTCAAATGATATTTTTTGAAAACAAGTTGTTACTCGACTGCAAGAATCTTGTCTCTTCATGAAAACTGTGCTGATATTTTTATTTTTTTGACCCTGTAACTAGAAAGGCATTTATGGGAATAATTATGTGCTCAGGGGTCTTAAACTAACATTAGAAAATGGCTCAGAAGAATAGATGTAGATATTACTGCGCAGTGTGGGAATTAGTCAAGTCCATTTTCCGGAACCAGTTTTAAATGCATGCTTAAGACCAGCAGAACACATATTTATTCCCACACTTTATATTTCTATACTTGGCAGGCAAAATGGAACATATTCACTTTGTTTTTATCAAATCATATATGTACTCACTTTGTGCCGCTGGAACAGGTCTCTGAGGAAGAGCTTGATGGTTGCTCCCTTTGCCCTTCTGTCCTTTGCAGCAGGCTTGAGAGAGCTCATCTCTGCTGAAAAGGACGGTGAGCAGATGCCGCAGAACAACCTTCAAATTGCCAGATTCCAAGGAGGCTTTAACTGCTTCCACTTGTTGGTGTGTTATGAAGACTCCAAAGCCAATATCAACTTTAGGAGCTCCTTGACTCTTAAACAAACATCCAGGTTACAAATCAAGTTAAAAAAGAGAGGCACTCACAAAAAATGTCAAACCTACTGACCTGATTGTGTTTGTTGAGCAAGTATAAGATTCTAAGCATCAGTGGGTCAGCTGATTTAATAACAAGCTACACTGTACATGTACTCCAGTACTCTACCTGAAGATAGACTTCTATTCTTCGTCTTTCATAGCTGGATAAATACAAGCACTGAGCATACAGTGTTCATCAATATATACATTGGGTAAGGGTGAAACTCATTATGTAAATACATGAACTTGATTATGGTATGGCTTTCAGCAAGACACGAACAGATGGTCTTACTTGCTTGGGAAGCATACTTACATCTGTTTTGTGGCTCCATTCCCAGTTCTCCCCCTTCAACTCCTCTTGGGTTTCAACTACAAGATGAAAGCGAATGAAGGCAACTTGTAGTCTGCCAATGTCAACTTTTTGTCTTAGTTGAAAAGTTGGGTCAATTCAACCAATACGTTTACCTGGTCCAGTTGTGGCCTTTGCTGACCCCTAGGCAAACCCAGCCTCCCACAGTGAATCTGACACTGCCATTGACCTTTTGTTTTCCTTCTTCAGAGCTTGCACTTCACAATTCAGCAGGTAGTTTTCTTCTTCCAGGTCCAAGTAAGCTTGATTAATGTCTTCCCTGCCCAGCCATTGTGTGAAACAACCCTGAAAAGCAACGTCCTTTGTCAATAAATGCCGGCCTTTGCTAACTTTTTTCTGGATACAAGCCCATTTCGATTTTTACTAGCCTGTAGATATAAGTCTTTTTGGGTCTTATGTATTATGACAACAGGTTACAATTTTTTTGCTAGCCCACTAGAAAACCAAAGAAGTGATTGAAGTTAACCCAGAGCTTTTGTTGTTAGATGTTGTACACTGGGCTAATACTACTTTAAGACCTGAAATGCTTACCCAACCTGTGGAAATGTCTCATTAATTGCAGATGGGACAGTGAGATTATCACTAGAATAACAAAAGGGGAAAATTACATGTTGGCCCATTCCCCCAAACTGCGCAATATTTGGCCTAAAAATCTGCTTAGGTCTAAACAGTTCAACCATTTTTGGATAAACACAAATAGCTCGTTAAATCACTTCAATATAAGAAAAAGTTTTGTGCCTTAATACAAAAGACAGACCAAAATAATGCTGAACAGACAACAGGAGGTTTACTGAAATTATAAATAATCAGCCAACCCTATGAACTGTATATGTTGTTTGCTACACTGTTCAACAGACTTTCCTACCTGTTGTGGTGGCAGTGGCAGCGATGGTGTGGGTTTTGCTTGTGCTGCTTCCCATGTATGTCCTTCAGATGACCATATTGTTGCTGCTGAGTTCTGTATTTCAGTTTAAAAAGAAAGCGTAATAATGAAATTACTTCATTGCTATCATTAAATGGGTTTTCACAAACCAAACACAACTAGACTGACTTTGTTTCACTGATTTTTTGAGACAGGACTCTGTGGCACAAAGTATGAGCCTTTTTTCAGGGAAACATGTTAATGACTTAATTTCAAAGGTAATCCAAATATTACCTGTGACTGTTAACAGGAAGTTTAAAAACTTAATACACTGCAAATTAATTTGATTTACTTTTAAAGTTTCAGTCCATTTTGTGTAATTCACTGTTCCAACTGACTTTCCTACCTGTGGTGGCCGGAGTGGAGACAGCGATGGATTAGGCCTTCCTTGTGCTGTTTTCCATGTATGTCCATCATGTGATAGCATAGTCTCTTCTGAGGTCTGGGAAAGAACATGAATGGAAAGGCTATTTTCATGCTTTTTTTACACCCACAAGAATCAATGAAGTATAATGTTTTTTTACATTCGATTCTGCTCACAAGGTTCTGGCATGAAGAACAAATTGGCTATTGAAATTGGTTATTTTAAAGTTGAAACAATGAATTTAGATGAGCTTTGGTTTTCTGCAATGGGAAAAAAGCTGACTGGTCTCCTCAAGAATACATAATACCTTTTTTGGAAAAAAAACTTATACTATGAAGAACACCATACAAACATGCCAAAGCAAATCTTTAGTTGCAAGTGCTTGCTATCAAACCTGCAGAACATTAGGTTCAAGGATAAATCCAGAATGGAAGAATGGTGCCTAAACAAACTTTATGCCAATGAAATCATTATGTCAAACTGTTGGGTTCTCACCATAGAAAATAGTCACACAGAGATTTTGTAGGCTATTCTTTGCTTCACTCATATCAGCTGATGTAAGAAATCGAGTTTTGAGAGTTTGTGTACACTTCATGTTTTTTTAATTTCATGGGCATCAGACAACACAAGAAAAAATCTGTAATACATACACAATGCACATGTTCATATACATGCACAATTATCATTTGAATTTCTTTTTAAACATGGAACTCTTTACTTGCGTATGACATACACATTACATACTCATAAAGTAAGGTATCATAAAAAAAAATTGAGAAATCCAGAAAAATATGGAGGAATCTCACCCCAATTTCAAATCTGTTTTCTTTTCTTTTCTACTAGAAATTATTCTAGTAGGATTTACTCTTTTGCTTTTCAAACTGAACCCTAAAATCTCATTAAATCAATGTCTCGATGAAAAGAAATGTATTTTTGAAAGGCGAATATTTCTGAGTGGTAAAAGGGAAAATTGGACAGAAATTAAAAACTTTAAGATGCAAGACTTTGGAACATTTTGTTAAAAACTCATACACATACATGTACAATACTGTATATACATGTGATTGTTGAGTTGTCTGCTCACTAACGCACAATTTTTCTAAAATGCTTCTGCATATTCTTTTACTTGCAGCAAGCTGTGGGTTGCTTTCACTTTTTGGCATTTTCTGTTTTGAAGTTTTAGATGACCTTTCCTTGTCAGATGCTGCTTCATCAATCTCAATTCACTTTTTGGCGTTTCCTTTTTGAAGTGTTAGATGACCGTTCCTTGTCAGGTGCTGCTTCGTCAATCTCAATTCACTTTTTGGCATTTCCTTTTTGAAGTGTTAGACAACCGTTCCTTGTCAGGTGCTACTTCGTCAATCTCAATTCACTTTTTGGCGTTTCCTTTTTGAAGTGTTAGACGACCGTTCCTTGTCAGGTGCTGCTTCGTCAATCTGCTGGCACAGACCCATCAGGACATATTTAAGTTCATCTTCAGAGTCTAGATAGCCAAGGGAACAGAAAAAAATCTATAAAGAAAGGGACGGCAGGCTTTTCTATGCCTTATAAATAATTTTTGTGTCTACATTTTTATCATTGGAGTCATTTTCCAAGTGGACTGCAGTCTTATTCACAAAGTTCATTGTCAAATTGGATAAAGGTTTATTCAACCAACTTTTCATTGCAAACAAGAGTACATTTGAAAGTTACACATTACGCGCAGCTGTAACAAGTCACTAAATTTTGTGACTCTCCAGTTTAAAACACAGAGTTACATTAACCTAGGAAATGGATCTTAATGCTCAGCTCAAGTGTTTATCTAAAAGGAATTAGTAGTAATTGCTGCATTTACTTGTATGACCAAGCCATGAATTGGAAAGGCCTTGCCCCCGTCTTGCCTACCGTTTAATGGTCCCTAGCCTACATGTCCCAAAAAACAGCTTAGGCCAAACAAAAAAAGAGCTGTTTCTAGTTACCTGACCCAACCTAGAAAATCATGCGGAACCTATATATTTTTTTTCATTCGACAAATCAATAAAATATAAAAACTTATGGTGCCTTGCCCCGAGCCTAATTTTGTATACATCGTCCAGAGATCCTTTTGATATAGCACCAACTACACATTCATGTGTATGTACATGTCTATGCATACACGTGCATGTACATACATGTACATGGCATTGTACAACAATTCACCGAAGTGATTGCACCGCATTCCGCCTAGAAGGAATTTCGGATACAACAAACATTTCTACATGGTCCTGTGGATTTTGTAATAAAGAGAGTCAACTGTACATGTATTAACCTGACATCGACTTAGTACTTGTTACAGATATGTCCCCCCCCCCCAAAAAAAAATACAGACAATCACCCGACCCCAATTTTTTGGGCTACAAAACTTTAGAGTAAAAAAAAACAATTTTACCCGACCAACCACCCTGATCTATTTTTCAGTCTAACAGGAAAAACAACTAATTTTTTGTTTGGCCTTAATATTGTGACCAAATGGTTGTACGCCTATAATAGGTAAGGCCTTTGTGTTAGACATTTGATTAATTGATACCATTTGCTTTATATGCAGGGGAATATCCGTAGCTTAAGTCCACTAGAAACGAAATTTGGAATTTTTCCAAGCTTACATAAGTGCTCACATCAGATGTTAAAAATGGAACAGGTGCAAAGAAATTGTTTTCAGTATTTCCCCTGTCTAGCTGTCTTACAAAGTAACTCTGAAACAATAGTCCTCAAAATTTTCCTTGATGGCTCCCATTAAACAAATTCAATATAGTTCAACGTATGGAAGAAGTTAAAACTAATGACCCCAAGTCATTCATTGATTGGGACAAGCTTCATCCGCTTCACCTTCGGAGTGCCAATCACCCAACAAGTTAGTTTGCCCTATTTCCATGCAAAACCATGCTGTACAGTCATTTTCCCAGTTGCGGATTTTCCTAGTTCAAGATCGCTTTAAATAGAAACCCATGTTTTAAGGGTTAAATCTAAATAATGTGAAGAGTCAGCATTTTTGAAAATTTGCCAAAAACTGAATGTACATTTTTCCTAGTTTTTGATCATGCATGTAGTCCTTGGCTAAATACACGTTCAATCAGGACAAATATTTAGGCCTAGGCCCATCGGGCCTATCAGCGGGTACCGGTCGACTCGGTCCGTAACCAACTCGGTCCGAGTCAACTCGGTCCAAAGTCAACTTGGTCCCAGGTCAACTCAATCCCAAGTCAACTCGGTTCAAGGTCAAGTTGGTCCCAAGTCAACTCGGTCCAAGGTCAAGTTGGTCCCCTGTCAACCCGGTCCCAAGTTATCTCCGTCCCAAGTCAACGTCGGAGATCATTAATAATTTCATTGGGTGGTACCATGATGGTTGAGTCACTTCGCCCACAACTGCACAAGTCTGACAAAATGCCAAAAATCTAATTATAGAATCCTACACTGGGAATTTAAGGCAGAAACCAATTGAAGCATAAATATAAGCCAATAAAGTCAACTTAGAAGAAATGTCTCTGAATGGGAGAGTGCCATCATTCGTCAAACAATTTATTTTTTTATTTGTGTGGAAGTGTGAAAAGAGTCCCTGCTCCATGCCAGCAAATACAACACTCGATCGACAGCAAAAATATTCTAAGAGGCATACATTTTCAATCTACACTAAGCTTTTGCTTGAAAAGTAGCCTTCTCAGTTGCAACTCCTAAAAGGGACTGAGTTGACTTGGGACCGAGTTGACCTGGGACCGAGTTGACCTGGGACTGACTTGACTTAGGACCGAGTTGCCGAGTTGGTTACGGACCGAGTTGACCATAAGCCTAGACAGCAACTCGTAGAGCTGCGATAGACAGGAGGTCAAGATTTATGCAGGCTGTCCTTTTTGATGCACTTAATTCTAATTTCTATTGGCCTAGGGCCTAGACGTACAATTTTTTTGTCTAAAATAAGACATGGTAAAGGAGGAGGTATTCGGCCAAATAAGAAATGCCAGAAATTCGACCAGCAGTGTAGTTTTTGTATGAAGCTGGTTGGATTCTCCTCCCGATGAAAATACCGTCCTTTAGGCCTAGCCTACCCCATTCTTTAAAGAAAATTTGCTTGTTAGGGCCTACGATCGTTTTGCCTGAAATCAGGCCTAGGCCTAAGTTTGCTCTTCATAACTTTTCACGCGTGAAGAAATTTTTGATGTGTCGTCATCACCTTTGTCAGTTCATCTATAACATTGTCCTTAGTCACCTCTGTCCTCTCACCACATTTCAGGGGAATCTGAATGTCTATGACTAAAGTTACTCAGTAAATATGGGGCCTAATTATTATTGCACTATAGACTAGGCTTAGGCCTAGGCTTAACGCTAGGCTGGAAAACGTTAGGCGCAGACTCACCGCTTATTTTGAGAATCTTCGCTCGGTATTTTTCTTCCCCTTCCACTTCACCATGCCAATACTCCCCTCATGTTGGCAGCTTTCCTCAACAGAAGAGAGGGGCTCGATGCTCCCCTTCTTTTTGTCGATCCAAAATACTACACACTGCTTTTTACAGTGGCGAGAAGACCCGGAACGGAGCAAATCTGAAACGTCCATGACGTCCATCTGACTCCGCCCGCGAGATTGATAAAAACCAAAGATCGTAAAAATACACGAAATAAAGTGCGGGAACGCTATTGGTCCTGACGACAGTCAAGTACGTGACCAGAAAATGAAGCTATCTGACAGTGCATTGCAATAAGTTAAGTTAGATTTTTGTGTCTTGGGCTCAACTCCCCAGCTGCGCAGGCAATCTGTACATCAGACAAAGCCATAGCCCTTCATATATGAAAACCTGTTGTGGATGGCGTCAATTATGGCGGGAACTTTCGCAAAACAGGGTATCAAACATATCAGACAAAACACCTAACCCGCTGATTTATTCGTAAATTTCCTATTGGTTAGCACTTAGTACCTATCGCGGTAGAATTGTGGAGAATCAGAAATATTTCCCAGTCACAGTAATCTTGATAACTTGAACCTTGGGGAATTTCCAGCTCATGAAAGTTCCTGAGTTGCTGTGTCATAATGTTGTAAATGTGGGTGTGGGCGTCATCAGTTCTCCCCGATGGCAAAGGTTTTGCTTTTTTATATTACTTTAACCACTGCATTATTTTTTATAAAATAAATACATTTCACAAAAATTACCTAAACAGTTTAATTTTGGTTTTGCAAAAACAGTGTTACTTTGTGTGACAATTGGCGTGTGATCGTTAACAATATACAGCTCATCACAGAGCTCCATCCCTGCAGGTCATCGCCAGCAGAACAAAGAAAATGCACAGCGTGTGCGCAGCGGTCGGGTGTTTTTCACTTGGGTAGACCTTTTTGGGATGCTCGTTACGGATCAGCAATTGGATTGTACGCTTGCATTCTCTAATTAGGTGTGATTTTGCAATTAGGCTAACTTGATATGGACGGAGTTTGTCAGCAACCGTGCATCACGTGATCGTATAGCGTAGCACCGCGCTATACGATCTTGATACATTTTGTGCATGGCCATTTTCCAATACTCAACTCCGTCTCTGGCTTCGTCTAAGAAACCAATCCTCGATTGTGGGCCTGAAGCATTGATATTAAATTAAAAAATACTGTAATGTTTGGCTCTTTTACATCTTATTTGATGTTCTGTGGTACAGTCAGACTTACTTTTCCGTTTGTAAACTTCAAAGTCAGGTAGTAAAAAAACAGTTGAAGCCTACCCGAAATGTGAGTCAAGTATTGGAAAATGGCCCATGTTGTGTTCATGCATTTCGATCATGCGCGAATTGCATTGATTGGCTGACATCTCGGTGCACGCGCGGCGTACGTGGGAACCGGATGTGGATTCTTCTCTTCTAGCGGTCACGCGGTTGCCGAGCGAGAAGTTCCCGGGTGGATGTTCAAACACAAGAATCGGTGTGGCCCATCGATTTTTGTTGTTCTGTCGATGATTAATTTTACCATTAGTCAGTCACTAGGCTGACACCATGAATTAACCTTATGGTTATGAAAAGGAGTTTCATAAAATGGTAATGATCGAAGTCGTCAACTTTATGCACGATTGTGCAACAGGATCACGCAATCAACATGATCGACCGACCGTGGCAAGAGCCATGAGAGCTGAGGAGTATGAATGAACACGTACATGTACATGTATGAATGTACGCCTATATAGTAGGCCTAGCTTAGTGTTGAGCAACTATCTTCTTGAGCAACTTATTCTGCCTCACAAATGATTTGGAGATAATGAAGAAAATCATCATGTACTTCTGCACGAAGAAATGCCTCAACCATATTGCAGCATCTACTAATTTCAATTTAAGTCTTACGGAAGGCATGGCTTGAGTTCAATTCTTCTTTCTGGCTCCCAGTAGCCCTCAATCCCAATTCAACATTCCCTTAGGATATTGTAATGCAATGCATAGCCCACTGGTGCGCTATCAGGCGCTTGTTGCTTAGCGGCGTTGTGCACGCTGTGTTTATAAGCGGCCGCGCGCTAGGAGTTGCTCTTGTTCATGCTGCAACCGTCGCCACATACAGTTGGAAAGCTGTTCCTTCAGCAAACGTCACCTCCAAGTGCAGTTTGGTTCAGAGTTATAGTGTAAGCTGCAATCATCCAATCATTTACATCCAGTCGAGTAGTCGCAGTGGGGGAGCCTCATACTCTGTGTTAGCTTGATTTAGTTTGTGATTGATAATGAATCATGACACCTATAATTTTGTGATTAATTACTAGTACCACACGTAGGTGAGGCACTGTGCGCCTATATAGGCGAATAAAGTCCTGGAACAAAGAGTAGGCATAAACTCGCATCCAGTTCCCCCATTTTTTCCCCGTTGGTCCCCCGTTTGTCAGCCCTGTGTGGTGTAAGGGTGTGTGAGAGTGATCTGTCTGTGGCGAGTTACGGGCCTGGCGGTAGACTTCCGCCAAAAACGGATCTGGGTCTCGGGCCGTAGAGGTCAGGCCACTCACTGCTATTGGTTGAGACAGGAAGTCCTCAGAGGCTTTACCGCTACAATATCAATGGTGAAACTGCCACAGCCACAGAGTAGCAAGTATAGCATAAAGAGCTTGAGCAAGTGAGGGTGACTTCAGCCTTGTCAAGTTTGAGTGGGAAATTGGCATTGTCTATGTCTAATTCAGAGCACACATACTTTCTTGAGTTTGATGAGAAAACTACTCTACAGACAGTACACTGTGCATTCGAATGGCAATTAAACATCAGATTTTTATGCACGCTGCACATTGGAAGTTTTGCTGCAGGCTCTGTGCACTGATGGATGGTTTTAAAACATGCCTTAAATTGCTCCAGTGAAAATGAGCTGTCACAAACAAAAGTAGCCTTGCACAAATCAAAATTGCTCGAGGAGCAAAGATGTCTTTCCTTGGCACATGTTTTCTCTGGAGTATAAGTTGGATTTTTGATTTTCCTAGTATACTTGTGCCTACAAGCATTACAAATGCAACCTTCATTTGTTAAATCACGCAAACAAGTTTGAGAAAAAAATTTTGAGTTCTTGATTGGTAAGAGTGTTTGCAATAAATCTGGCATGGCCTTAAGGCAGGTTTATTACAAGGGGGAAAGTTTGTTTTTCCCCTTTTACCTTTTTTCACCCCTTGATATCGAGTGCCGTTTCATCTTCTTGCTGAGGGACTGAAAGAGGGGAATCCACATCCTGTGAGGTGGGTAATTGTGAGGGCATCTCCTTCAGATAGAGGTGTAAGCTTGCACTGCACATATCGTAAATCATCCATGATGACTGGAAAGAAATAAATTAATGAACAAATTAAGAAAATTATATTAACTTATATTAGAGGAAGACTGGGGACGGCGTAAGTATAAGTACAGCAACGCAATACTTTTCATCTTTTGATTACAATATAAAGAGCGTTATGGTGTCTTATCCCAAAACAAATATTTCAATAGAACAATTATCAATGTTATTACAATGGAAACCCATGTGGAACTTATTTTGGCACTCATTTTTGATATTCGTATTACTTCTCATTGAAATATCACCTTAATATTTGTATTAGATTTCGGGACATTTCAGTTGTATAATTTCTCTTTGCATTTAGAGAAAAACTGGTTTGCCATTTTGAACCTCACATTAACATTTTAAAAGTTGTACATACATTCTTTCGTTTGTATACCTTGCATATCTTCTTCACCTGATTCATCTGTAACCATCTCCTTCCGCTTACGGGCAGCAACATAGAGGGTATCAGGTTTTGGGAAGGCCACCTGATGCAGTGGAATCCAAGGGGGCTGAGAATCAACCCGCTTATATGGTAGAGTCTGCCAATGGCTGTGGGCTTGCACTCCAAAGTCTTCATTAGCAAAAAGCCGAGAAGATGAAAGCCGTCCCCTCAAAAATCTTTATCTTGACCCATCGTAACCTCTTTTTTACCAATGCAGTGGATGCCATCTTGGGTATTCTTGGCTCTTGCTGAGAAAGCGTAATACATGTAGTAACACCAGCAGCATAATTCGAGATAAATTATTTCCAGAAATGAAAATGGGGTGTAGGTTGAAATGTTAAAAATTGTCCTCCACAGTCTATAATTTTTGTAGACACTTTGAAAACTAGAAATAAAGAAAAAATCCTCAGCCACTTACATAAACTTCAACATTCATGAATTTATATATTCAAATCGATGGCATTTATTTGAATATGTAAATGTAATTATTTTAAAATTGAACCTGTCAGAGGAATAAAAGGAAATTCACTTTAGTGACAATTTACATGACAGTGAGCAACAATATTTACTGCTCAAGGTCATAGTGTAACACTGGAAAGTTCGTTATAAATGAGCTTACAAAGCTTTATATCCCTAGGAGTTCTGAAAAACTGAAACAAGGTAATTTCCACCAGCTGTTCTGGCCCGCTTCACCTCTTCAATAATTGTGAATGTAAAGTTCACAATGTGGATATTTCTACCTATCCATGTACCATCCCCTGACAGTTTAACATGTATTTCATTAATTTAATACAAGAAATCCTTGCAAATGCAGGTACTCAGCTGTTTTATGAATCAGAGCAAATATTCCTCCGGGAGCCCACTGAACCTTCTGCGGGGGTACTGGATGACATAATCCACAGGAATTTTCTTGACAAATTGCTTTAATTTATACAAAGATGGTAAGCTATCACAAACAACAGAAAGCTTTTGGTAGGCCTGGTCCGAAATGCAGAACCTGTCTTTAACAAAAACAAGATGCTTAAAATTAGTAAAGCCACCTGGTGAAAGCAAATTTATGTCTTGCAAACTACCTGTTTCAAGATTCCTCAAAGTTACCTTTTCAGCTTGTGGGCCACAGAATTTAAGAAATTCCAAGGCATTTGCACAGTCTTCAGAGAAGGCTGCCTTTAGTCTGTACTTATGGGATCTGCTGTATGAGTGTAATGGATTAAGTTGTGATCTCCTGTATTTACTGATAACTTGCTGCACCACAGTTCCTTTGTGTTTATGTGCTGATGTCCTTGCTTTTGATGCTTGAGTCTTCTTTTTTTGGACAGCGGTTTTCAGCAAACTTTGTATGTTGAAGAATCGTGAACTTCTATATGCTGTTAGCAGCAATCTACTTCTTGAATTTTTCCATCTGTCATCCACCTTTTTTGGATTGGCAAAGCTGAATAAGAAATCTTCCTACTTTTACCCACACTTGATGGGCCAGCCGTGGTGATAATCT